CCCCTCGCAGGTGTGCACGTTTCTGTGAGTAGTGCTTGCATGCATAGGTGTGTTCTGGCGTGCCTAGGTTTGCCGTCCTGATCACTGTACGCAACTCCACAAAAACACATGACTACAGCCCAGGTGTGTTCTCATGAACGCTGCACAGAACTCCACAAAAAAGCATCACTACATGCGTGTGTGACTGCGTCTGTTCATGTTTGCATGTAAGTGACATGCTGGACTTTGAGGCGGTAAGTGTCATGCTGCAATCTCGCAAGGGGACTTTGAGGCGGAATGTGCTCATGGTATCATGCATGTTTCTCGGTCGCGCATATTTGCCAATCACGCAGAAAGGTCACTTCTCTCTTTTCTTTGGGGGGGGAACGTTTCTCCATTCATGTGTCATCCTTGGGTAGGGGCCATGCTAATGGTGGTCTTCTCTATATTGTTCCAGCAGGCCAAAGAATGGTCCTCATTTTCCAGGGTCATACTACAGTGCTACAGTTCAATCGCCCGGTGCTGTCAAATTAGCGAAGCTCCTCCAGTGCAACAAAAATAAACAACAGTACGAAAACAAGAGTAACACAAAGGAGAGTTCACACTGACATCACTGACGTCCACTGGCATCAAAGCACGCCGTGCATGTAGGCGAGGCATCTGGTGCACATGCATCGAATGTCCCTGAGAGAGGGTCGGTGCTACCTCAGCTGAAGGAATATGTGCCCACCAGGTACGGTCGGCAACGTTCAGGAGCCCACGGCCACTTAGCAATAGAGTATCAGTTAGACAATGATTAGCATGACCCTTGTGCATAATAAAAGACTTGAGAAGAGTCGGTTACCAACATTGCCAAATGTGGGAAAGATTTCCCTTGTGAACAAAAAAGCAAAAAAAAACTCCATGCAGCACAATCGTGTTGGGTGGGCGTTGCACATTTAGACAGGATTCTGCAGTGCTATCATCGAAATAAATTCAAATGGTAGAAGAAGATTACCAGGAGGAGCAGGGAAGAAGGCCAATATTACCCATATAGGCTGGCACGCCGAAGGCAAGATCTGAGCTGGGACCGGCAGGACTGGGAGTGGCCACCTCAGAATATGCACAAGAAGACGACACCGTTGCAGTAACTGCCGACAAAGAATATCTACAACTCCTTGCTAAAACCACGTGACATCTGCAGGGAACTCAAGAACCAGCGGGCCCATAGAGACTTACTCCCCGACGCCTATTATGATAGGCGGACACCGCGCAAGTGGAATGAACAATGTGTCATAATGGCAGCCCTGCCGGACCAAAAACAAGCTGGCCTGCTGTGGCAAATCTATCACTTGGCTATCACTACTGTGCAATGGCTAGCTACTAAAAGTTGGCACATAGACCAGGCATGTGTGGTGTGTGGACAGGTGGAGACCATAGCCCGCCTGTTTGTGCGGTGTCCTGTGGTTCGTGATGGTGAGTGCACGAGATAGCAGAGCACACACCGATGGAAGTAACCGAAGCGGATGATGCGGGCATCCTCATGGGAGCCTTAATGAGGGCCAACAGATCAAAACCTGAGGATTTGATGGTGATGGAAGGTGAGAGGAGGAACACTATGGGCCATCTAGACCTTGAGGAATGAACACTGCAGACAAGGCACGCCCCCCCCCCTGCAAGTGTATCAGGAACGGGCATTGGAAAACATTAGAGTGGCCCTTCAGGGGCACTTCGGCCGTTGTGAGCGAACCGCAGGGCAGGGGGGGTAGGGGGGGGGGGGGGGGGGGGGGGGGGGGGGGGGGGGGGGGGGGGAAGGGAGGGAGAAGGGAATGACAGCAGATTTTGGAAAAGATGGGGTCCCTACCCAAAGTTGCTGACTCCAGACCCCCAGCCCTGTAGTACGTCGTTTGGACCTCTGCTGCTAATGAAGACATGCCAAGTGGAAACCCATGTGTATCATAGAAAGAGGTAGAGAGGGTAGAAGGGTGGGCACTCCCTCGCAAATTCGATTTCTACCCCTGGCTTTCCTGACCTTGCTGGTAAGCCCTGTAATGACACCGAGATGGTAACCTACCCCAATCCAACCCACAGCACTACAGCTCAGAATACAGAGACCACGAGGGCACAACCTTAGGCTCAGACAAACACACTGGCAAACACATGTCATCAGTAGGTCAAGCAGACTGAGAAAAACACGGCAAAATAGACTCAGACTTGGAAATCTCAGCACGAGAGATCAAAGCCGACACCTTTCTCATAACAATGCCGATTTCTGTTTGTAACTGTGTAGATAAAGGCAATGGAGTGATGTCCGGTGGGCATGTCAGCCCCAGATTTCACAGTAAATCATAAGTCCCATGTAAACTGAGATGAGAAACCTTGCTTCAGACCATGAACTCAATTGCCAATAATAAGGTCTTTTTTAAGGCTGGAGTAGCCTGGGAGGACCCAGCATTGAAGGGAATGGGGTGGGTGTGAGCCCTCAAAATGTTTCGTCAGACGTGCATCCAGAGGAAAAGACCCCTTGCCTTTCAACTAACTGGACCCTAGGTAAGGACCAGTAGTTTCATCTGTCCCCTTCTACTGGTCAGACCTACAGTGCTCTGCTCTTGGTGCCGAAACAATGCACCAATGGTTGTCTAGAATTCGCCTTCTTTAAGGCATATACAGAGTACAGAAGCATCAAGCAGCATCCTCCCCTTCCGCCCTGAACAAAAAAGAGAACAAATTATTTCTTTCATAGCAGAAAACTGACCTGAATGAGCTGCCCTTCAGGAGCTGACAAGCCGTACTTCACAAGGCCTAGACTGCATCTGATCATCTTTGAGAAGATCTCGACCTCAGTTGACAGGTTCTCAAATGCACCTCCGACTACCTGCCCGCCTGAATCGACCAGTTCGACAGCAAACCTCACAATATCAAGCTTCACCGCAATCTGCATCATGTGAGGTGGATCCTGCCCCAATCCAGGAGCTAGGCCGATGCTTGGCTCGTAATTTATCAGCTCGTATAGCTTATCCCATTCCTCCTTGGACAAACCTATAGGCTTAGCATTCTCATGCTCCTCTGATGTGCTGCTCTCACCTTCCGGTTGTGCTCCTCCGCCACCACCCCTGTTGACATCATGCCATACTTTTGTCATTCATCACAGAAAAATGTGACCCTACTCACATATGCCCTCCTCCCCCCTCTCTCCTGACTATATCCGGATTCTCTAGAACTGCACTGAAGGACACAATCATGATTCAGAAGAAATGTTGAGTGCAGTCCAGGGGTAGCCACAGAAGATAATGTCCAGTGGCACTTCACAAAGGACTTCATCGAAACGGAGATGCAAATGGTGGAAGATCAGGTGAATGAAGCAGGACAAGCCAGAGGCTATATCCAGGACAACCATAAAAGACGCTTTGATTGGAGGCAAGGTGTCAGGCATTCATGACAGCAATCTGAGAGGGAACTGATGGGGCTCAATGGATACATCAAGGCCGTCGCCCTCAGAAAAGAACAGAAAAAAACAAGCAAAACAGGGGAAAGGACACAAGTCGCACAACTCTTATACGGGAAAGCAGAGGCCAAGGCAAACATAGGTCCTTGGTAGCATTTTACTATAATAAAGTCCCCACTGCCAAACATGGGGGCCGAAGGATGAAGAGGCTGAGGAAAGCCGGGTTTTCAGGACAGCACTCAATCCTCCTCAACAAAGGAATGATCAGTCTTCCCAAATCAAACACCAAACAATATCCTTCGAACTTTGAAGGGCAATAGGGACGTTCAAAATTAACAAATAGAAAGTCATTCACTGTTCAATACCAGGACGGCTGCATGATTCCTTTTTTTTGGGAAGAACAGGCCCTTATGGTCCTGGCTCCATGTCCATTCTCGGGGGCATACGGCTGCATGATTCCTAGTGTTGGTGTGGACATCTTTTCCCCCAAACAAAAGTGTTTTCCCCCAAACAAAAGATGGCACTTACGAACTCCCAGGGAACATATGTCACAACTGGGATAAAGATGTTCCGTGCACACACCACACACACTCCTGATGAGTAGGTGAAAGTCTGACGAAACAGTCTGGCACAGTCATGCTTTTTTTTTAGTGTGTAGCAAATATAACAACACACAGTGCATGGAGAAGGGTGAACTGAACGACTAGATGATTATGTGCCATAATGCAGAATACAATATATCATCAAATGCTATCAATTACCAGTATACATGAAGGATAAGAGCCTGGACACATGGATGGAGGGGGCTCGACGCAGGCTTGCAGCACTAACCTTGGGAGTATGACCAGCGAATATGACAACACACAGAGTGAATGGCAAAGGGTGAACTGAACGACTAGATGATCATGTGTCATAAAGCAGAAGACGATATACCGTCAAATGATATCAATAACCATTATACATGAAGGGTTAGAGCCTGGACACACAAATGGAGGGGGCTCGGGGAAGGCTTGCAGCACTAACGTTGGGAGTATGACCGGTTTCCTTCCATGGCACTGAGGGGAATCCTACCACAGTCACTGTGGGCTTAAATCTTTAAGGTCAGCATGGGTCCGGTGATGTATCAGGGGGCAAGCAGGTGTCGCTCAAGAGTGCGGCACGGTGTGAACCACTCTAACCCTATGAACTTTCTCCTGGTTTATACCTGCCCCTTACCTTTCTCCTGTTCTACACGCCACTGGTTGATTATATTACCCTGTTCTATAACCACCACTGTGATCTTTTTGCTGTTTTGTACATGCCCCTGTGTACTTTCTCAATCTTCCCTGTGGACTTCCTCTTGGTTATGCCAGACCCTGTGATCTTTCTCATTGCCCAGACCTGACCCTCTTTTCTCTGTGCTTACTAAACCCTGTGAACTTCCGCTGGTTTATATCCGACCGGGACGACCCTTTATACCCAAAGCTGTGAACATTTTCATTGGGTGACTCTGTTTTCCCTGTGCTTACCCCACCCATGTGAGCTTTCACCAGCCCTATGTTCTGTCTGACTTTGTACCCAACCCTGTGATCCTTCTACTTGTTTATACTGGCCGGTCTGAACGCTCTCCTCCATGCACCTGTGAATTATCGCCTTGTTTATAGCCCAGCCTGTGAACTTGCTCCTGGTTCATACTTGACCCTCCTGGTTTATTTCCCAGCCTGTGAACTCCTGGTTTATAGCCCAGCCTGTGAACTTGCCCTTAGTTCATACCTGACTCCAGGACCTTTCTCCTTGTTTATACCAAACCAGTTCAATCCCTCCCCATTTAAACCTGACCATGCTGCTGATCTTGTAATCTTGTCTTGGTGGTATACATCATACATGCGGCCCATCACGTGCGCACAAGTTGCGCACATGCGCCGCATAGCACACACGCACAAGTGCGCGCAGACGTGATGCGGTGCAATTACGAATTAAAAAATAACAAGAAGGACCAGTGCGGCTTCGCCCGCATGACAGTAGGTCAGCGCATAATGTAATTACTGTGACTCGCAAGGACTGTAAATTTCGAAATACAGCTTCATCAGACAGAAGGAGAGGATGAATGTGGAGGTGCATTAGCGGACTGTCCCCGGATCCTGATAGGATTGTCAGTGCATGAGTGCAGCTTAAAATGATGATGAAGGAATCGTGAGTTTACCATGGCAGGTAAGGACATCATCTGTTAATCATCCGAATGTGAGCATCAACATATAGGCACATCATGCTAGTAAAAGAGAGAGAGAGAGAGAGCGAGCGAGAGAGAGAGAGAGAGAGAGAGAGAGAGAGAGAGAGAGAGAGAGAGAGAGAGAGAGAGAGAGAGAGAGAGNGAGAGAGAGAGAGAGAGAGAGAGAGAGAGAGAGAGAGAGAGAGATAGGGATGAACGTGAAGTGATGACGCTGACATAGGGCAACAGTTGGATTGCAGAAGGGTGGTTGTTTTTTTGTTGTTTTTCCCCTTCTTTTTTGTTTTGGACATACAAGCAAGGGCAAGAGTTTTTACAACCATATTTGCTCCTCTGTTCACACTCTGTTACGAGACCGTGATAATGATCATAACGACTCTGATGATGTGATCATCTTAGCCGTGATCATGATCATGAAATGAACAGATGGTGATTGATACGCATGGTGCATACCCGCATCGAACTCATCATCGGGGTGACTATGACCATTCCCGTCATCATTATCGCGAGGTACAGAAACTGCAACATGTAAGTGTTTGTATTCAGATTGTATTACAACCGTGATGATGATGATGGCTGCCCTTACCATGATGATGACCGAAGCAGAGTAATACATATTAATTAATTAGAAAAAAAAAGAAAAACAGGTCGATTGCTATACGTAATGATCTGCGACGTGGCAGATGAAGCAGGTTGATGGGCTTGTATGATTGACAGGATAAGCAGCAACGGTTTTTGGGACTCGAAGATACTGGAAGAAGACAAACCCGATGATGAGAAACACGCTTGTGACACCAAAAGTTGAGCACGCAGGCTGGCAAGAAAAAACAAACGACAAAGCGACTCCCCAGACTCACTTAGCACAGGCCACAACTCAGAAAACGGAAAGAAAAAAAAGGAATTGAAATGGTCGAAGGAAAAGACCGGCGACAAGTTCACTCCGATACAGGAAAACCCATAGCCTCGATTCAGTTCCAAAAAAAAAAAAAAAAAAAAAAAAAAGTCGAGCATTCGCATTCGGCTAAACGAAATGGGTGTGGGGCGTAACATCGGCCGAGGGCGATCACCTGATCGTCCGCTCTCCTCCGACGCTTCGTCATCGCCGCCCTACGGAAGTCCTACAAAATCCTACTTATGAAAAAAACAAACAAAATATTAAAAAAAGATCTACCCTCCGACGATTCATCACCCAAGTCCTACGAAAAACCTACGAAACCCATAACACCCACCGCGCAATCTATTTACGTGTGCAACGTTCCGCAAGAAAGCAAGGGCCTCTCCTTTCAAACCGTATACCTTCCTGTACGCTTCGTGACCGCGACTTGTGCAGATACCCCCCCATACGTCAACGCACCCCCAACTTATGATTCACAGCTCGGCCCTAACCGTCTCGCAAGCACGCATCAAACTTCTTTCAGGAACCGGGGCTTACGTAGGTAAGTCCCGGCGCATCGATGGACCCCCAACCTTCAGTTGCAGTTAATGGGAGGCCCAAAATTCGGGGGGTTTCGCCGCATCACTACAAACAATGTTGTCGAAACTTTTGCAAACAAACTATGCAGGGTCATAATACAAACATAAAAAAAAAAACGATCAAGCAAAAAAAAAAAACAAAAAAAAAAATCAAGCGCACTATAAAACCGTATTCAGAGTAGCTTTCGGAGTTCGCTGAATCTTTCTTCGAGTCCGGCATTTCTGCCCAAATTTTTGTAACTTGTCCAAATACGGCGAAACTGAATACAAATATACCCTAAAGCACATACATATCAGATGGAAGAAAAAAAAACGAGAAAAAAGTGAAACTTCGGAAAAATATGGCAGTTCCGGTGAAAATTTCGCTAAAATTCGCCGAATTTTGGACCCTCCAATAACCGCCTCTCGACGCACTAATGAGCCTGCAGTCGTGCTCTCTAATCTGAAGTGTGGCTCCCGCTGCCTCTCCCCAATCTATGCCTAATACAATATCAAACGGGAGACTCTCTTCTACGAGGAGGGTCAAGGAGTGCAGTACGTTCTCTACCTTCCCATCTCTTTCTCGAGGCGAAAGTAGGCATGGACCCCCTCGACATACTCTTCATCGACCATCCTACTGTTGTCTGCGAGGATGCTGACTACAGGTTCTTCTAAGCGTTGGACTTTTAGATTTAGCTTCAGCTTCTTCAGCGCTTTACAACTAATATAACTCCTAGTCGCCCCACTGTCTATCAGGGCTCCTACTCTAGCTCTAAGTATCTCTACGTCTACAAGGATAAGTTGTCCTTTACTATCCTCCTTTCATCTTGCCTAGGCTTGCCTCCTCTCTCTCAACTCCTCAGCTAAGCCTGTGAGGAAAACGTCTAGAGAGACACTGACACAAGCAGTCTTTGGACAGCCTACTAGACGTCGACCCGCAACCTCTGCCATGGAGATAAGTCGATTGGGAGACTCTACTTCGCCTGCACGCTCAAATCCACATACTCCTG